TTGTGTGTCTTCCTATAGAGTATCTCACAGTGCGGCAGCTTGCTTCATTAGAGCCAATAAGAGAGACATTAACAACACTGAAGCCACAGCTTTTTGTAACCTAGTCAGAGAAGTGACATCTCATCATTTTTATTGTGTTCTATCTGCAGTTCAAACCCACCAGCTGCTCCTTGGAAACCCATCCTATACAGAGTTGCTATGAGTCAGAACAGAGTCCATGGCACTTTACAACAATAATAACAACTCATTAGATTCAGCTTGAGCTCAAGGGGAGGTGATGATGCATGAATATGAATATCAGGAATCAGGGATCCTTGAGAACCATATTAGAAGCTACTTAACACAAGCATTACTATCAGAAATGAAAAAGGCAGTAAGTTTAGGCAAATTGTCTAGACAGTAGTAACTGTATCATGACATGTGCTAGTTATGGTGGAAGAGTAGCTACTGTCTAAATAATTTGAATTTGGTTTCAAAATTTGGTTACTTAAATCGCTTTAATTTTTTTTTTTTTAAATTGTGAATTATATGATAGTTTACATGGGAGAACATTAGTTTTACATTCATCCTATTGTATATCGTTTCATTGCCATGGTTACAATCCCCTCCATGCATCATCAACCAACCAAAGTGTATACACTACAAGCCTGCTCCCCGGTTGTCAGCACACAGCCCCTCTCCCTCTCTGTGTCCAAAGTACGCAACTGCTCCATCTCTCCACGTCATCATCTCTGCCTCCCTCTCAGGCATCACTGCTTCTCTGGGTAGGGTCCCGCTCTCTGCTCTTCTCCCTTGATGGTCCCAGAGACCTCTGCTCTTAGACTGAAAAGTTAATCACTCCCTTCTTTGCTACAAAACATCTACCTTTACATTTCCAACCCTCAAAAGCAGTCCTGATAACAATTATTCACTATTGTATCACAAGAGACCCATCCGCATTTCATTTCATCAGCCCTGCCTAGACAAATTGGATACTACTCAGTGGAGAGTCTACCTTCGTTCACGCCTCTGAATCAAGGTACCCTCTTGAAAGCTTGTAAGCCAGTCACTTCTTGCCTTTGTAGCCCCCCAATTTTGGGTAGCCACTTTTGAGCTACTGTATCCATAGGTGTAGGTCAAGTTCATCAAGTTGTATCAGATTATTCTTTTTTCCTCTTGTTTCTTCTTCTGGTTGAGCTCTGATCATGCAGTTATTGAAGCCAGGTTAAGTGGGTATTATCTGCAAGTGTGGGTGTTCTTATGCATATGCCCTCTTTTCTTATCAGCTGGACATTTCACTCTCCACTCTAATCCTCTGTGGCTATGTCACTGACTCTTGGCCCAGGTGTCCCCAGGTCTTGCCACACTGCTGACCAACCAGGTCTCTACCGGGTTCACAAGAGTCTATTGCAGGTTGTAGGGCTTAGCTCGCTGCTTCATTGCTGTTTTTCCCTCACTTCCCCTTATGGGTGACGAGCGTGGTCACCAATCAGAGCGTGTATTCCTATTGAGTCTTAGTCTTAGAAGGGGGTTTATACTGAGGGGACTTGACCATTTGCCTTGCTGTCTTCTGGGCAAGCAACTGGCTTGTTCTTGTAGTAACAGTCGATCTGCCTCTATTGTTTTGTATTTTTCCTATAGGTCTTTCTTTCAAGAAGTATTTTCTGTTCTTCTAGCCACTCTAGGCTGGTCTGTTTGTCCTTTCAAGTAGAAATTTCCCATCTCTGAAGATCAGGATGTGGTTTAGACTTCCACCTGTAGACTTATGTATTGCATAGGCTCCGCAGGAATAAATGGCTTTAATTTTGATAGTTGTTGTTTGTTGTTAAGTGTCATTGAATTGGTCCTGACCCATAACGACCCTGTATAGGGTTTTGAGGAGCGGTTGATAAACCTGAACTGCCGACCTTGCAGTCCAGCGGATTAACCCATAATTTTGATAGGTTGCTAATTATCTACCCCTCCTGGTGTGGCACTGTAGGATAAGCACTGGCGTGCTAACCACAAGGTTGGCACTTCAAACCCACCAGTTGCTCCTTGGAAATCCTATACAGGATTGCTATGATGGCACTTGATTTGACTTGGGTAATGTATAGAAGTTATTCAGTGTATTGAATTTAATTAAAGATTAAGTTCAATATACTTGTTCAGTAGTAGTCTTCAAAAGACTGTAAGCATTTTGAGGTCAGAGTTCATGGATTGAGCATGTTTAATGCTGTGCTCCTAACTCCTCCCTAGCATAATAACTACCCCAAATCAATGTTTCTTGTATAATCCTTCAATGAATGCATAAAAATCGGTCCAGGAGCTATAAAGTACTCTGAAAATGGAAATCTGTGCTATGCCCATTTTTCTCATTAATGAGTTGTGTGATTTCTGATCAACTTAATATCTTTAGTCTTTTTTGAAGGTATTTTAATGAAAGTCCAAAGTTAGTGATACCTTTTGATTTAAGAATTCCACATAAAGGACTTTATCTTGAGTTCTGAAATGTGATTTTTATATGAGTGTTAGTCACACCATGTAATAACAATAAAAATTATTACTCCAGTTGTCTTTCAGAAGGAATTACTTTATTCGATTACAGAAAAAGATATAATTGGTAAACACAGCAATTGGTGTCATGGAAGGTTGCTTATGATATGTGAACTATAAAAAATGATAAAATACTTCATAATATGTGATTTTGTTAGGAAGATAAATGACATTCATGTGTGTTTTCATAGTTATGTGTGTTATGCATAGGAAAAGATCGTGATGTGAACAAAAATATGCATTGTTGCCCTCTTGATGGGAAAGGTTTTTAAATTTTTTAACATTATTATTTTTTGATAATCACTGCTTTATATTTTAGTAAACTTTATATTTGGTGAACAGTTGAGATAATTTCATTTTGTAAAGCACTGAATAAATTGGCTTTTTTCTTTGGTATTCTATTTTCTGTTATAGCAGATAGTATATTCATTTCAGATGGAATAGTCAATTGGTCACTAGGATATTGGGGCTGATTTTAGGAGAAATTAGAAGCATTATACTGAAGGATAGTTAGAGTTTCTCATAAAACAATATGAATATCATGTAAAGATAATGTTCACCCATGTAAACTAACACATAATTCATAATAAGAACTTAAGAAACAAAAACAACCAGTATGAATATCATTTCTTGGCTTTAGTGCCATCTTGTTAGAAACCTCAGAGCCCTGAGAGCTAAGTAGAGAAAGAAGAAACTGTTCAGGCTGCAGCTCAAAAGAAGAAGGATGAGACCGAGGTCCGAGTAAAGGCTAGCCTGTGCACACATAGAAGCTAAGCAGCAGGAATATGGATTGCCTGAGGCCACGACACTTGGACAGGTTGTGGATTGCGTGCTACTGTCTAGAACTTCTGGCTCAGTAGATTGAGAACTTCCGTCGTCGTAATTCAATGAATGCTGTGAACACCTGAGCCCCACCTTGTTGAATATATTCAGCTCATTCTGATCAGTCTGGACCAGTTCTGTTCTCTGTTCTCAGTTCTCAGTTGTGGCTGAATGTGACATGTGCACAACAGGTCATCTCTTCTGCCTTAGCTAAAGAATCAAAAATAAATAAGCAATATGAATATCGTAATAAGTATCTTTTAATTGTTGATAAGTATGAGTTGTTGGATGTCCAAGAGTGACTGGCTTTAGTGAAGATAAACTGCTCTTTTTAAATTCAATATTTTTATTCATCCTGTATTGGCCAATTAAACATTTTTACAAGTGCCTTTTTTAAAAGAAGAAAACGTTTTTTTTTTTTTTTGAGGTACACTTTACTATAAAATTCAGCTGCTTTAAGTATCTAACAATTTTTTGTATATTCTCTGCTGCCATCATCATCATCCAGTTCCAGAGCATTTCTTTCACTTTAGCAAGATCCTCTGTAATACAGACTTTTTCTTGGTTTTACATCAAAGATAGAGTTGCTGTCAAAAGATTTATTATAGTAGATACCTTTTTTCTCTAACATCAATTTATTTTTTCTCTAACACGAAGTCTTGGTGTGATGCTGTAGGATAAGCCCTGAACTTCTCACTGCAAGGCCAGTGGTTCAAACCCACCAGCTGCTCTTTGGAAACCCTGTACAGGTTACTATGAGTTGGAACGGACCTGATAACACTTAACAACGACATGAATACAGAGGTCCTGATGAAGTGTTGTAAGATAAACACTGGAGTGCTAACTGCATGGTTGGCGGTACAAACCCACCAGCCACTTCTTGGAAACCCTATACAGGGATGCTGTGAGTCAGAACTGATTCTATGACACTTACCAGCAACAACAATAGGAATATAAAATGTATTCTATCTGCCAGTTCCTCCTGCATGTAGTGTATACATACAAATGTGCATTTTTATTTAGAAATGTGTTTGAATTTGCAAATTAATAGGGAAATTGTACTTCTAAAAGAAAATTTCTGTCATCTTGATTTTCATCTCAATGAAGCATTTTTTCGTTGGTCTTTATCTTTTACAACTGGTTTATTTTTAGCAGATCACGGTAAACAAGATTGACAAGCTATTGAAATACTTTTTAATTATGCACTGCAAGTAAACATCGACTTTTCTAGGCAGGTTTTTTTCTGGGCAGACTTTTTCTATGCTGTGGATAATTAAAATGAAAAATAGATTGACAGTTCATCATTGTAACAAATGCAGTTGACAAAACTGGCATTTTTCTTCTAACTCACCAGAGGGCGCTCCTTTCCAGTGTATTGCTTTTATCTCTGACCTAGTAAATTATTACATTATACTTTGAAAAATTTGATGCTGTTATTGGAATCCAGATTTGAATTATTTGGAGACTAGGCTTTCTTTTGTAACTTTTAGTTAATGTTTTCTTGTCAGGTACCTTAAAATATTGTCATTAAGAAGGGCTTTCTATAAGCAAGTCAATCTTAAATATCTAGGCTGTAGCACATCTGTGGTAAAATACCTTTTTGGTTTAGTTGGGTTTTACTTCACAGCTTTATAATGACATTCTTTCTGTTTATTCATGTTAAGGTTTCAGATCGGGTTGAGCGTCGGCTTCAGGAACTAGAAAGAGAGATGCGCACAGAAAGAGAGTTGGTGGAAAAACGGCAGGATCAGTTGGGGCTTATGTCCTTGCAGCTGCAGGAGGTTTGTGAGACATACTTTCTCTGAATGCAAATTTTGGTTTTGTATAGTTATTTATTGAAAACACCATGGCTTGGGTCAAGTGCACCTTAGTCCTTAAGCTGACATCTTTGCTCTTCAACACTTTAAAAAGGTCTTGTGCAGCAGATTTGCCTAATGCAATACGTCATTTGATCTCTTGACTGCTGCTTCTGTGAATGTTGATAGTTGATCCAAGAAGAATGAAGTCCTTGACAACTTCAATCTTTTCTTTGTTGATAAGAATGTTGTTTATTGGTCCAATGGTGAGGATTTTTGTTTTCTTTACATTGAGATGTAATCCATACCGAAGGTTGTGCTCTTTGATCTTCATCAGTAAATGTTTTAAGTCCTCTTCACTTTCAGCAAACAAGGTTGTATCATCTGCATATCGCAGGTTGTTAATGAATCCTCCTCCAATCCTGATGCCACATTTTTCTTCATAGAACCCAGCTTCTCGGATTATTTGCTCAGCATACAGGTTGAATAAGTATGGTGAAAGAATACAACCCTGTCACACACCTTTGTTAATTTTAAACCATTCATATGCATGCGAAAGCTGGACAGTGAATAAGGAAGACCCTAGAAGAATTGATGCCTTTGAGTTATGGTGTTGGAGGAGAATATTGAAAGTGCCATGGGCTGCCTAAAGAATCAATAGATTTGTTTTGGAAGAAGTGCAGCCAGCGTGCTCCTTAGAGGCCAAGATGCCCAAACTTCGTCTCTCATACTTTGGACATATTGTCAGGAGGGAGCAGTCGCTGGAGAAGGATATCATGTTTGGTAAGGTGGAGGGTCAGAGAAAAGAGGAAGACCCCCAACGAGGTGGGTTGGTCAAGTGGCAGCATCGATGGACTCAAGCATGGCAACAGTAGTGAGGTTGGCCCAGGATCGGGCAATGTTTTGTTCTGCTGTGCATAAGGTCACTGTGGGTCGGTACCGACTCGATGGTGACTAACAACAACAACAACATAGTTATTTAGCCATTGTTAAGATGGCTATAGTTCCTTGGTTGTTGCATATAAGATCTTGTGTAATTTAGCAAATGGGAAGGATAGCCTATTGGGTGTAATCCATTGTATGGAATCAGTTCTATGTGATTTCAAACTTTATGACCTTTGACAATTCCTTAACTTCTCTAAGGTCCAGTTTCCTCCTCTAGAAAATCGAAATAATAATAGTATCTACCTCATCAGATAAATGTAGGATAAATGAGTTAATGATGCTAAAGCACTTCACATACTGTCTGGTATTTGTTCAAAACATGTTGACAAAAAGTATAGTCTTTTCTGTTAAAATTTTCCTTGGCTTGAACTAGACTAGGAAATCATGGCCCATGGGTCAAAGCTGGCCTCTACCTATTTTTGTAAATAAAGTTCTTTTGCAACATAGCCACAGCCAATCATTGATATATTATTGTCTGTGGCAGCTCTCATGCTGTAACAACACAGTTAGATATTTGTGAAAGAGGCTGGGTAGCCTACATAACCTGGCTGTTTCTTGAAAGAGTTTACCAACCTCTCTATTAGACTACCAGCAAGCCCATTCAAATAGGTGGGTGGTGAACCTTTAGCTAGGTTTTTAATAAACTTTTTATATTGAAATGTCCATTGAAAAATTAGTCTTTCTGTACTTATATCATTCACCTGTTGTTGTTGTTAAGTTCCTGTGATTTGATTCCAACTAATAGCGACCTTGTATATCATTTTAATGGTTGTAAATTTTTGCATGATCAGAAAACCTCATCTTTGTCCATTGTAGTGGCTGGTGGGCTTGAACTTCTGAACCTTGTGGTTTGCAGTCCAGTGCTCATTCTACAGAACCACTGTACTCCGTCATTCACCTGTTGTAAAGTTCTGTTGACTCAGTTCCAACTCATAGTAACCCTGTATAGGCTTTCTGAGGAGTAGCTGGAGAGTTAGCAGTTCAGAGCGAGTTAGCTCGTGATTAGCATTCCAGTCCTATCCTCTAGTACCAGACCAGGACTCCATATTAACAGTTGTTGTTAAGTGTCATTGAGTCGATTCCAACCCATAGTGACCCTGTATGGGGTTTCCAAGGAGTAGCTGGTGAGCTTGAACCACCGACCTTGCAGTTCAAATAACTTTGCAGTCTGATGCATTAGCCCATAGCACCACAGTTAGATTCCCCTAATTTCCACTTTTTTGCAACACTTGCGGTATCATTTTATCTGTATTTATCCATCCATATGTAATTTTGTTTTCTGGACATGAGTGAGTTGAAGATACCATATCTCTTGGATGCTTTTACTTTTATAAATTGGATACATATTTCCCAAAGCCATGCATTCTCTTTCCTAATCAAAGTACAGTGATTGAAATCAAGAAGTTGACACCAGTATAATAAGATTTTATTTTGTATTTTTAGTTTTTATAACAATATGATAAAATTTATAGATTTTATTTAAATGTTGTCATTGTTGTTGTTTTTTGTGGCCCAGGATGCAGTATAGCATCATGCCTAGTGTTTAGTGGCCACACTTCTTTGTTGTTGTTAAGTACCATTGAGTTGGTTCTGACTCCTAGTGACCCTCTATAGGGTTTCCAAGGCTCTAAATCTGTGTGGGACCAGAAAGCCTCATATTTCTCCCAGGGAGTGACTGGTGAACTGCCGACCTTGTGGTTTGCAGTTCAGTGCTTATCCTATGGAGCTACCATGCGTCTCTTTTTGTCGGTTCCAATTCATAGCGACCCTGTGTAGAACAGAAACAAAACGCCATCCAGCCCTACGTCATCCTCACAATTGCTGCTACGTGTGAGCCCAGTGCTGCTGCTGATGTGTTAATCCATCTCATCGGAGGCTCCCGCTGTTTTCCTGGCCATGCCTCTTTGTTGTTATAGTGAAACGCCGCCGTCAAGTCGGTTCTGACTTAGCGTGACCCTGTATAGTGTTTCGGAGGAGCAGCTGGTTGATTTGAACTGCTGCCCTTGTAGTTTGAAGTCCAACGCTGAGCCTACAACACTACACCTTTAATTTGGAACACTTCTTCAGTCTTTGTTGTAATTTAGGGCCTTGACAATTTTGTAGCATGCTAGTCAGTATTTTGTGTAATAACCTAGTTTGGGGTTTGGCGAGTCTATGACTATCTTCAGGATACGGACTTTTGGCAGGAAACCTGGTGTTGTATTCTTCCCTGAAGACTTATGATAATGATTTGTTTTATTACTTCTGAAAACAGTGAACCCGTGGTGGAGGGAGGGGCTGCCAAGTTTGTTCTTTGTAGACTTACTATTTTTTTTTTTTTGCTTTTAATTAATAACTGTTTTATAACATAATTTGAAATTTGAAAGTAACCTGTTTCTCAGTGTATTTCAACCCACTAATTTTAACATGTATTTTTTTTTTTTTTTGAGTGGCTTGAAAGACTTTATCAAATTGTTTAAAATGTTGGCATTTAAGCATTCATGGATATACAGAGAAGTTACATGGAACCTTAAGAACATAAGGGTACAAATGTGGTACTTACACAAGCATGGCACGGAATGAAACCAGGCCCAGGGGGCTTTTAACAAAGTTGGGTGTGCTACTAAGGGCTTGAGAAGATGGAGGGAGAAAGAGGAAAGGCAGCAGCCTCAGGGTCACTTTGGGGGCTCAGCTTAACCGTACTACTCAGATCCCCAACTGAGATTGCTTTCCCATTCTCCAAGGAAAGCGAGACATTTTCAGATTGTATCCTCACTACATAAATGCCCACTCTCTAAAATCCTGATGTGACAAATTCACCCAAGAACCCACTGGAATATGTCCTTATAAATATATATCAGAGCAAACAAGGCACTTCTGAAGCATTATAGCTCACTCTCCTAAAAGTATGTCATTCTAGACAGAAAGTAAAAGTTGGTTAGTTTCTCAAGTAAATTAACTGAATCAAGTTAATATAGTAACAGAATGATTCCCTGGCCTGACCATGGCAAGAGGTACAGAATGAGACACATCGCTGTATGATACCTGCTCTCTGGTCAGAGGAACTAGCAGAACTTAGAGTCTGATGTACCCCTCAGGAAGCCTGACACCTCTCATGAGCAAAAGCTCCTAGCTTTGGGGCACCAGCCCCCTCTCCACCCTAAGGTTAGCTGAGGGGGATTGTGACAGGAGTCAGTCTGAGAACAGAGCTGGGATATGATGGGAATGCTAAGCAGGGTCACCAAAGCCACAGAGACCTCAAGCTGTCCAAGCCGGCACTGCAGAGCCGGAGGATCGGTGCCACAGGAAGAGATTTCACATTAGCCCTGACAACATCACCTCAGCTAGGTGGTGACATTGACCAGGGTTGTTTCTGAGGGTGCTTGAGCTTCCTTGGAGGCAAGCTGGAGCTTGGGCCAGCTGTTCTGAGCCTCCAAGTGATGCTGAGCCTGTTCCCTCCCCCTGGATGCTCCTTTGGAATGTACTCATCTCATGACCAAGACCAAGGAAAAGCTACAGTCACTTGTGACACTGCTGATTGGATGTTGGGCCCTTGGGCCACAGGATTGGGGGCAGGTCCCCTGGGCTTGGTAAACCAGGAAGGGAGGTGGCTCCTTGGCTTCAGTTCTTAAGGGTCTTTCTGGGCCACTGTTTCATACTCTTACCAGCGTGGGCCCAGTTTAAATAATCACTAAACTTTGCATCCTTCGATTATAGGATTCTAAGAACACAATTAGCTGCATTGAATCCTTTCTTATCTTAAAGGGCTCTGGGTGTAAACAGCATTAAAAAAAAAAAAAAAATGGTGCACATATGCATAAGTAGAGCCCAGAGGGCCTCTGGGCTGACTGGGCCCCCAACCCTTAACATGTATTGTTGATTCGTACCTGAAACAGTCCTTACTCTAACTAGAACCCAATGGCACTTTTTCTAGTTTCACCATTCCTTCTAATTTGGAACATTTATTATTTGGAATTCTACTGTGTGAAAATTTTTGTGTATCTTTTTATGTATCCACTTATATTGTTAGGAGGGCCCTGATGGTACAGTGGTTAAATGCT